AACCCGCCACCTTAGGTGTACGTGGCTGGCGCCTTAGCCGGTTGAGCTATAGGCGCCGAGCCCTCACGTCAGTTTTTTAATCAGCTTATTTGGAAATACTGAAAAAAGTATGTCCCCTGTGCTATGCTCAGGATTTTCTCACATCCCTGAACCATCTGCATTCTATGTTATTTAAAGTAGCTTAGGTTTATTAGGCTATACTTATCTTAGACCAATATGGGGTGAGATGAATTAAGAAACATATTTCCTTTATGTAAGGCTTCTTACCATCTAATGAGGAAAAATGTGTCCAAAATTCAAGTGTCAGTGTCCCTTCCTGGGAAGAGGTTTAGAAAAACACAACCACTCACCTTCTGAACTCTACCAGTTCCTTTTGAAATTAACATAGCTAGCATTAGAATCAGATGTTAAATGTAAGAGGCAGGCAAAATATTCATAAAACTGACCATTCCTGAAAGACATGGAATCTTGCTACTCCTGGGAGAACCACGTACAGGAGGTGTTTAAGGAGGAATGGTGACCTTAGTGATGCGAAGAGAAAACCGGGAAACAGAAGCTCACGTGCATTTTGATGCCAGAACATGGTAAAGCTGGAGGGGGCTGAGGCTGCCCGATCCTGGGAGCGGCCTGCTCAGCAATCCTGTGTCCCTAAAGAAATCTGCAAGTGACTGGTTACGCTAAAAACTGAAGTGTATCCGGTGGCTGCTCTCCTCAGAGAACAGAACGATCTTGCAAGCTTAAAGGCAAGTGTTTTCGTTCTTTTAATTAAATAGGCTGTGATAAAATTAACAATAAAACCATCCCAGAACCAACCAGCCCACCAGACGCAGTAGTGCAAATCTCACAGTAACGACAGGCCTTCGGGGAGGCTACACGTTGGTCTCCAGTCCGAGCAAGCGCCCCATTCGCTCCACATTCTTATCGATGGTAGCTTGGCACGTTATCTCCTTGGCACACTCCATAGGAAACCAGCCCCTTTCTCCATCTCGCAGTCGCTCCCCCTCATACCATCCTGCAAAAAGGAGCAGAGTCCACATCAGGCAACAAGTATTGGAGGAATCTCTGCCATGCCAAGCTGCAAGGAGGGTATGAGAAAGGTTGAGAGGCAGCATCGAGGGTGCTATGGATGATAAAAGGTGACAAGAGAGAAATGGGGCAGGGAAGGGTTTCAAGGGGGAAGGAATGGCATGCCAGGGACAGAACACGAGCAGAGTGCCTGACAGGACGAGGCTGAGAGAGTTACTAGAGCTCGGGCTGAGCTGGGGAAGGGGATACTTGGGGTAAGCGCAACAGGAAAACTTTGTTTTTAAAAGTAAGGAAGAACCTTTGGAGGTGAGAACAAGGTCACTAGAAGACTGAGAAGGAAATAAAACTTCACAGTTACTACGTGCGTATTCAAAGACACAAGTGTAGATAAACGATAACACGTAAATAGATGAGAGGCAGGGCCCGTGAGAAGGCCAGAGGCAAGGGACGCAAGAAGAGGCCGTCGAGAGCAGTGCTCGAGTGTCTCCAAGTCCCCAAACACCTCTCTAAGTCATCTTTAGTCTCTGCGATGCCACTGATGTTGGAAAGAGAGAAAGGAAGAACAACAAAAAAGCAGCAAAACAAGCCTTAGAGATGAGAAAGAAGTACGTGTAATCACCAACTTTAATGCATCAGAATTTGGCATATGGGCACTAATGACAAACTGGACTCTTCAGGTCTATGGCATCCTAAATGCTGGACCACGAGGGCCCCGTGAGAACATCCCCACTCACCATCACTGACATGCTGATAAATGAGGACCACGTCTGCCACCTGCAGGGAGAGCTCATCTGGCTGCTTGGCGGTAAAAGACCTAATGATTTCCACCTGGGTCAGTGCTGCAGCAGAAAAAGAACATCATGAGTTTCCAGGAGCAAAGGAAAAACAGAACACATCGAAACCGATAATGTCCATTTACTCAGCTGCTCTGTGCAATTCAGGGCTAGCACTGAGAGAAACAAGTCGGGCTTTTAGCAAGAAACAAATCTTTCTAAGAACTCTCTTACTTAGTTATTTTTTCTAAGAACTCTTTTACTGGGAACTCTCTCAGGTTTCAGAAGCCCTTAATAATGCACAGATTCCCACAGTAACAGCCTTGATCGGGGTCATTAGCCACATCACACAATGGAGCAGAAAACAGCCATGGGGGTGGGGGGCAACGGAGTCAGTGATGCGTCAAAGCCATGTAACTGCGACAAAATGGAACAGCCCCAGCTCTCCTCCTGGCCTCCGGGCGCTTCCTCCTCCCAACAGCAGAGCAGGAAAGCTGCTCGTGTGGTTTGGAAATAAAAGGAGATCCAACCAAAAGCTCAAAAGACACATTAGAGTCCCTCCAAAATGCTCATAATGTGTGATTTCTCACTTAGTTTGCTTCTTAAAATAAATTTTGATTCTAGGGAAGTTTCGAACCAATCCCTTTGGCTTTGACTATAGACTTAAACGCTATGAGTTTTGAGTGCTCCAGGATGACCAGTTTTGCTGCTCTAGTTCTCTGGATTTGACCTTCCAACTAGAATCCCTGGAAGAAGCATGACATCACAGTTAGGGGGCTAATCAGCAGGTGCCACTACCCTTTACTGCAACTGTTCCTACTTCTCTGGAAGAGTGACCACATTTTCTTAACAGGCCAAGAAGAATGGTTAAGTAACTTTTTTTTATGTTAAAAATACTTCTCAGCTCAGATTCAGACTGCCAGTACAGAGACAGCATCTACAACTGCCCACTAGTAACAGCTAAATGCTGAAGAGTTTCACAGCTCAAGTAGGGCTTTATCTTATTTAACTTAACCTTCACAAAAACCCTGTGTCGCACCTAACTCACAGGTGGTTAAATGAGCTTGGGAAGGCTAAAAAATGATTTTACGCTTTTGAACAACAAAGAATTGCACCTTGGATTTGAATCCAGACGCTCTCTTTCAAAGCAGGGATCACACAGTTCTGGCCTAAGGCAGAAGGAAGGAAACCTTGGATAACTTAGAAACCCAGTATTGTGGCTGTGTGACGCGTTAACACGAGTGCCCAGCAGGGGGCAGAGTCCCTCCATGTTCCAGAGCTTCCCGGGGGACTTACAGGTGCGGTCTGTAGGCTGCTTCCCACCGCTGTGTCCCAGAGCTGTTATCCAGCGGGCTCGCTCACTCCTAAACACAGAAGGCAGATACAGCTGAGAGATTCCAGGCGTTTAACAGACGGGAATGGAGGATGTTCAGCCAGGCGTGGCAGCTCACGCCTGTAATCCTAGCACTCTGGGAGGCTGAGGCAGGTGGATTGCTTGAACTCTGCAGTTCAAGACCAGCCTGAACTAGAAACTTTGTCTCAGCTAAAAATAGAAAAACCAGCTGTTGTGGTGGGAGCCTGTGGTCCCAGCTCCTTGGCAGGCTGGGGCAGAAGGAGCCCTTGAACCCAGGAGTGTGAGGTTGCTGTGAGCTGGGCTGAGGCCACCGGACTCTCCCACAATGACAGAGTGAGACTCTGTCTCAAAAAAAAATAAAAAAAGAAAAGAATGGAGAATGTTCTAGAAAGCCAATACAAAGCCGTTCTCAGAAAACAGGATTCTCCAAAGAGGGATGGGACTGGCCTTCAAAACAAGGGTAAGAGTTACTGAAAAATGATAATCTGGAAAATCTAGAATAGGAGGAAAACTTGTCACTGATGTTAAAAGATGCTGAATGAATATTCTGTTCTATGACTGTTTAAAATTCAATAGAGCTAATGACACTCACTCACTATCACCACAAAAAAATATTTGCACACTCATTCTGGTGTGTAACATTTAGAAAAGGTAAATCGCATTACAGAAACAATGCTACTAAAGCGATTTCTCAGCTCACTCCCTTTTAACACACTCAAACCATTTCAGAAGGAGAAATCTGACATCTTTAAAGCTATCTCATATCTCATTTTCCAATGACGAACTTTAGTTGGAACCTTAGTTCCAACTTGAAACAAATTCTTTGACCATTTTCAGACTGTTCTCAAATGTTAAAAATGGTTTCATCAGTACAGGGAGAAAAGGGAGAAGAAACCAAGACTTTTAAGCTACTGTTCCATGAAGCAAAATAATGAAAGGATCAAAAGTTTCAGATGAATAAGCACTGCTCTGTAACACTGCCCAGTGTTTTTATCAAGAATCAAGCCTTAGGACTGCAATTAATTAAATAAACCTCATACACACACATTTACGTCTCTTAAGGAGCATTCATGAAACCCACGCTGTAGTAACATGTCTGGGACAGTGCGTGACATCCATTGTTTCCTATAATCCTCCCCAAAGCTTGTTTGAAGGATGCGAAGACAAAGTTCCAAGGTAAGTGATTCAAACCAAAGCCTGTTTCCACTATACCCTTGTACTTTCTTAAGGAAAAATAGCTTCATGCCTGAAAAAGTCTCTCCTCACGGCCTTCAGCTAAGATGCTTGTCACAGTCACCCGCCCTCTTCCCACTTCATCCCTCCATCCAGGCGGGCAGGTGAGACTCAAAGCCCCGTCCCTTCCCTCTGTTTCTACCCAGCTCTGCCTCATCATTTTACCTTTTTTTTTTTAAATTAAAGAATAAGCCAGGCATAGTGGCTCATGCCTATCATTGTAAGCACTTTGGAAGGCCAAGGCAAAGCAAACTTAAAGCCAAACTTAAGGCTTGGATTGCTTAAACTCAGGAGTTCAAGACCAGCCTGAGCAAGAGTGAGACCCTGTCTCTACTAAAAATAAAAAACCTAGCCCGGCATTGTAAGGGGCACCTGTAGTCTCAGCTACTCAGGAAGCTGAGACAAGAGGATCTCTTGAGCCCATGAATTTGAGGTTTCTTTGAGCTATGACACCACGGCACTCTATCCAGGGCAACACAGTGAGACTCAGTCTCAAAAAATAAAAATAAATAAAAATCAAAATAAAAAATAACGAATAACATACATAAACAAAATAAATGTACCCGGTCAATCCCTGAGTGTTTGCTTATGCACAGCCAATTACACTCGCTGCCAGAACAAGATATAGACACACCAGGCAGTTCCCTTTTCCCTTCTAATCAATAATCTTTATCCAAAGAGAACTGCTATTCTGATTGCCATTACCATGAATGAATCTTGCCTCTTCTATACTTTAAAAAAATGAAATTCTATAGCATATATGCTTTAGAATTTGGCTATTTTTGCTGTGTCCACTCAATGCTGGAAATCTAAGTCTCACTGGGCGGCACCTGTGGCTCAAAGGAGTAGGGCGCCCAGCCCCATATACCAGAGGTGGTGGGTTCAAACCCAGCCCTGGTCAAAATCTGAAAAAAAAAAAAAAAAAACAAAAAAAACAACCCAAGTCTCACCTCTTCCAGGCGGCCTCCTCTGATACATAAGCCCACGTTCTATCCCCATCATGGTGTGATAATCCTGTTCCCAGGGCCCCTCTGCACAGCTCTGTTACACTGATGGTCTACAGTAAGCATCATACAGGCAGGCACCTTATCCACTTGGTTCACGGCATTATCTCCAGGACACATCCTAGGTGCTCAGTACACATCTGCCAATGAATGAATCATATCACTCATTGCCAACTGAACCCTGATCACTTATTAACCTGTCTGCTTCTCTTACCAGGCAATAAGCTCTGGGAGGGCAGGAATTAGATCTTTTTCTAAATAATATTAAGAAGCACCGGAAGGTATAGTATACTAAGTAATCTGCAAGTATCATCTCATCTATCTTTACAATCTTGGAAAGAAGATATGTTCATTTTTATTTCAATTTTTTCAAAGGATGAAGTGTTAAGTACCCGCTCCCAGTGTTTCTTAGGAGACGCTTACAAAATAATGTGAGAAAGGCAGAAAGGGTGGACACCCAGGTCTCCTGAAAGGCAGACATTTCTAAGAATAAAATGAGGCTGGGCCCTGTTAAGCTGGCATGTCAAATAGCAATACGCACATGTTATGCAGAAACTGATGGCACTGTCTTGCTTTTTAAAGCTTTGTCTCTCTCTCATACAGGATAAAGGGATTTATAACAGATAGGAAATAAGTGAAGCCCAACTTCCTTTAAAACAATCCCCGAGCAAACACAAATCTTTGATACCATTTCTTTGTTGGGATAAATCTGTTCTTTTTTCTTTTTTGTTTTTTAACCCAGTTTCAACATGGGTTGAATTTCCAAAGTGCTATGCTGGCTAAAATCTTATGGTTGGAGATTTGCTCACCAAGAGAAATCGAGAATGATTGACTCGTGTCTCTTTAGGCCACTTGGAACACTGCCGCTGTCACTCACGGCCCACAAGCTGTCTTCCTGGACCACCATAGAGCCACACGGAGCCAGGGAAGCAGACCCTCGTGCACGGCCCCTGTCTGTATCAAGTGGCCAGTTTCAGCAGCAACTTTCTCCTGCTACAAGTTTCCAGAAGTCTAGATGAAATCTTTCACTGCTGTGGCATGCTGCCTGGATGTTAATGGCATCCCCTAGACATGGCGGCCCCTCACAGGGACTCCAGAGGATAGAACAAGACAATCCTTTGTTGCCTTGGCTGAAAGGAGCTGCTTCTTAAAACTGCTTCAATTCAGTCAGTTGTACACCCTCTAAAATGCTGTCAAAACCACAGGACTTCCCCTGGGGCTTCCAAGAACCCTGCCAAGGAGCTCCCAGCACCGTGAGGCCCAACATCTCTAAGGCAGGGACTAGACTCAGTTGTAAGATGGAAGGAAATCTAAGGCCCAGAAAGACCAGGGCTTAGCCTTACCCATTATTAAATTTAGATATCAAGTCCCGGGCTCACTCACAGACACCTATTTTCTCCAGAGCTGATACAAAACAATGGAGATGAATTCACAATCTACCACACACATAGTTCATGAACTCCCGTTGCCCAAAGTGATAGAATAACCAGTTCGGCACTCATGTCCACCTGCAGCGTATCCCTGTCCAAGCCTCACTTAGCCACTCCTTCCTTCAACCTATGCTCACTTCACACAGGTCCTGTACTAGGGTGGGGATGCACAGTGAATAAAACGGGTTCCCTTGCTCTTCACAGCCAGACCAGAAGTATGAAGGACCAGAGAGAGCAGAAAATGCAGGTGGAGCACTCCACTGAAACATCCGACTCAGGTAGAGAACGGAGGCAAAATTGGGGGAAAGACTCTTTTGCCTTAACTATCTATAAATGCAGCCCTTCCATCATCCCCAAATTCTCTACACATGGCATGAGATGATGTCTCCACAGTTCCCTAACCAGTGAGCTGGGTCCTGCCTCTCATACAATTAATCAAGTAGGTTTAAACTTACTTGCACAAAAGTCAAAGACATAACAACTTCATTGAATACCAAAAATCTGCATATAACATAATATACAGAGAAAGTAGGAAGTACGCTTTGAAATATCATAGAGACAGGACAGAGAATGAGACCACAGAGTGAAACTCCTGCTGAGGGGGCGGTGCCTGTGGCTCAAGGAGTAGGGCGGGTTCAAGTCCTGCCCCAGCCAAAACTGCAAAAAAAAAAAAAAAAGAAAAGAAAACTTGGCATCACTGATGGGTTCTCCTGATTTCCTAACAGAGGAAGAGACCTTAGCTGCTCTTTAACCCTCCTTTTATTTCTTCTAAAAATGGCATCTGCCCAGTTACCTTTTGTGTTGTACCAATTCACCTTTGGTTCCTTTTGAAACTTCTATACCCATGGCCTTTGAAAAAAGTGCTTCAAGTCTTCATAAGGAGAATTGTGAAGTACAAGCCTTTATAAGAAGTAGAATCATGTTCTTGTTCATTCTCCCACATTTAATTCAACTAGATTAGTTAAAAAAAAAAAAAAAAAAGGTCCAGGAACGAAAACCCACAGCATAAAAAAAGTCACTATAAATGGTCTGAGAAAAGGCATTATAAATCTGGATACCAGCCTGACTTACCGAATTTAAAAAATCTAACCAAAGCAAAACATCCTTAATCTCTACTAAAAAAAGTTCTAAAATTTAGAATTTTGTGACATGTTGTAGAGTTGAATCAATTAGTTCTTGTTTATCATCTTAAGGCGCTCAGACCTAGAGTCTGGCCCAGAATCCTTCAGTTAACCTGAAATGGGGTCAATTACCTGTTTTCTTGATGATAAAAGACGATCACTGCCCTCCTGTCCTAGGGGGTCAGTGATGAGGATCACATAGAATCAAGCACTTTCATTTCT